CCCCAAAACCCCAAAACCCCAGTGGCATCAATATTAATGTATCAAGAAAGTTAAATCAGTAAATAAAACAAATAGCTAAAATATTTATAAAATATGAAAAATTAAAATTCTTCTGCACATTATTCATAGCTTCCTCTGCAGATTAACTCATAGTCGTAATCAAATAGATCAAGCTAACCAGCATTATAAATTTAAAAGCAAGATAAAAGGGAGAAGCTAGATTACATTATTTAGAGTCAGAGCATTTTAAACAATCAAAAGACATAGTTAATCAATCAGTAAACAGTAAAAAATCCTTTTCATGAAAATCTAACAGCAGCAGCAACCAACACTTAAATAGTAATAGGAAATCACATGTCATAAGGTCACACTCAAAGCTAGTTGAGTTAAAAGTTTTTGTAAAGTTCTATCAGATCAAATTACAACAATGAAGCTAATTTAGATGATATTCTAGAAACTAACCTTAATATTGCTGAGGATGACTTTCTTTAGTAATAGAATTCTGTTGAGGAGTCCTTAACTTATAGAAGTAATACCCCATTTGTCATTTAAACTTAAAATAGGGAAGTAAAGTGAATCCAATCGAGTAAGCTTTAGACCAGGATCTGACATGAAAGCGAAACCTTTAAGTCCATTTGTGAACACAGCTAACAAAAAGCAAACTCTAATCTCTAAGAAGGCATCCTAGTATTTAAATTCAAATTAAACAAACAACTCAACAAATGCATCAATAAATCAAATACCACAGAGCAGCAACAACTCAGTTCTGTCTCGGTTCACTCAAATTCCCATTTAGCAACCAAGACAAATGCTATCTTCCTCCCAATAAGACAATTTCATGTAATCTCTGTCAAGCAGATAACATTATGATCAGCATAGCTTGGGAATTCAAAGTCTGGAAATTAATGACATAGCACCTATTTTAACTTAAAGAAAGTTGTTTAAAGATGAAAATTTACAAAATACTCAGTCTAATGGTGTCCTAAACTCTACTCTAGGGAGTCAGAGAGTTAATCAATAGAATCTTAGTTGCGATAGCTGTGATAGATTAGACAAGATCATTCAAGACCTTAAAGGTTTATTCTTTTATTAAAATATTGAAGAGATTAGGGAGATACTAAGGAATATTGTACTTAAATATGAATAAGCTGATAAAAGCTAGAATCTCCTAAAACATCAAATTAGAAACTCAGTTTCATAGTTTGGCCAAATTTTGAATACGGATGAAGATTAATCTAATCTATTTACCCCTATCACCATGAATAAAACGCTTTAAGACAGTAGATATATTCTTAACTCTGCTAATACTCAATAAAATAATGCCAATTCTTCTTCTTTAATCAGACATTATTCAGATCAATCTGCTAATCCTAGTATAAGTAATGAGAACGAGTTACAAGCGCAAATTAAAGAAATAGATGATAGATTGATGAATATATTCCAAATGCATAATGAGCTATAATCTAACAGTTCAATGTATAAATCAAGATCCGAGAGATCAAGTTAGAGTCAATTGAAAAAATACAATAGACAGAGTTTTGACCTAACAAGTTCCAAGAACAACCAAAAAGAGAATTTGATCCCTTAAACAAACAAGCTAGTATAATAGTATATCCAAGATTACAACAATAAAAGAAAAAATAGCATTCAATATGGGTATCCATTGTAAATGACTAGTAGCTAATAGAGTCCTTTCGATCACAAAAGATCTAAAAGTTTCAATAAAACTTAAGGAAGTATAAACATGCAAGGCTCTTAAAACTAAAGTGAAAGTGTAGCTCTCTAGTCACTACAGAAATATCTCTTTGAAATAAATCAAAATTCAAACTCATACTCTATATAAAATACCTTTGTAAAGCAGTTCTAAGAGAGACTGTTTATTCTTGAATAGATTTCTTAAAAATGTGTAAGTCTTGATAGATATTTCTAAGATAGGTAGCAAGATATGGATGACATTTATGAATACGAGATCAAACAAAACAAGGTATTTATTGAAGAAACCATGATTAGTCTTTAAAATAAAGAGCAAACTTTGATTCAAAGGGAGCAAGAATTGTCTGAGAAAATCTAGTCATTTGACGATTAGATGAACATGCTAGAAAATTTCAGAGAAAAAGAAGAAATGCTATTAAATAAGTAGGAAGAGTTGTAACAGATAAAAGACTAGATCTATGAAAAAGTTTTGATAAAAAAAGAAGAACTTGAAAGTGTTTCTCAGGAACTGATTAATAAATAAGAAGACTTGAAATTACAAGAGGAATAGTTGCAGTAGAGAAGAGATGAAGTGATCATAATCTAAGAGTAGATGAAGTCAAAGGAATTACAACTAAGAGATTTAATAGATGACATTGAGAGGAGAGAATTTCAGCTGAGAGAGATCAATCGAATGTAAGTCGAAATAGATGAGAAATAAAAAGAGATAAAGATATAAGAGAATGAAATAAACTAATAAAAAACAGGTATTGAAGAATCTAAGTCTAAGCTATTCAAGCATTGGTCTAATTATGTAGAGAAAAATGAAAGACTAAAAGCATACGAGAGAAATCTATAGGCAGAGAAGAAATTATGCGAGGAAAGAGAGAAATAATTCAGAGATTTCAGAGAAAAAGAGATGGAAATTATCAAATAAAAAGAAGTCGAAATTCAAAAGACATAGCAAATGCTTTAACTCCAATCTATTGAGTTAAAGGTCCAGCATAAAAAGGATAATTTATCAAAGGAGTTCTTAGGAAGCAATGACAAGGGAAGATCTAATAAAGATGATAGAGAGTTATGCGATAAGTTACTTTAAAAATAAGAAGAACTACTTATGAAAGAATAAAGCTTAAATTTAATGAAACTTGAATTAGAATCTAAAGCTGAGGAAATATCCAGATTAATGACTTTAGTCATTCAAAATGGTGAAAGTTTAATTTAAACTCCTCCTAATTAAGAGCTAAACATACAAAGCAATGAATAAGAAATGATCAAGCTGAATTTTGATGAGCAAATTTAATGTTTAGAGAAGCCAAGACGAAGTATGGACAAGTAAAATATGATTATAGATTCTTCTTAATAAAGTAGTATTAATCAATCCTTAGGAAGCGGACAGAGTTCAAGAAAACATTTTGCTTCTCCTAGCTTTAATTAAATAGCAAAAGCTATGCTAGATGCTGAATAAAGACAACATCAGTAAAACGAATCAAGCATTATGAATATAGAAGGGAACTACTAAGATGGCAGTTTTAACCAGATAGATGATGAGAGAAGAGACCACTAGCACTTCTCATTTAATGAAGATTCATGCAAACTTTTTAACGTTGTTGATTAGAAAGATGAGGTGTCGAAGTTAAGTGAAAACAAGTTTGAATATTTTCCTAATACCTCAGAATAAGATAATGAAAATAACCTTAGCTAAAATGATCAAAATGAGTAAAGCTAAAAGATAAGCATTCAAAATTAAAACCAGAATTAAAAAACAGTGGATAATTCAGATTTCAACTCAAGCTTTGATTCTTCATCCAATGATGATAGTTATCCTGAAGATTTCGCAGAGTAATACAGAAAGAAGCAAGAATCTATGCTAGCAGAGCTTAAGTCAATTTATGACTAGAAGGAGTGGGTAAAATAAAAAGTAACTTAGCTTGCTGATGACTTCAAACTTCCAGGGATGTCTGCTTAAAAGGATAACTAGGATTCTGAGATACTTGATTACACAATGAGTCCTTTACAAGAAAGTAACACCAAATCAAAGAACTCAACTCAAAATCTTGATAATTAACTTCAGTTTTTAATATCTAATATCAATAACATGTCCTCACCTTTGAGCAATGATAACATATCTGAATAAGACTTCTTAATCTAACAATAAATTCTTCAAGACTAACAAATCTAATAAAACAATCAATAAGATTAAATCTAGCAGTAATAAAATCAGTAGTAACATTCAAGGCACTTTGGAAAAGGCTCGTTTAATTCACTATGAAATCAATATATAAACAATTATTTAAAGTATTCATCAGCTCATCATTAATGTTTATTTTTATCACAAATCTATAATTCCAATTCTAAGATTACTAACTAAAAGGGGTTTTGGGGTTTTGGGGTTTTGGGG